AAAGAACGAAAAATATTATTAGATAGCGATTTAAAAAAAGGAGAAGGTTGGTTTTTCATTCGGTTGATTTTTTTATGTTTGTTTTGGGACCCAATTTAGAAAAATATTTTTCCATTCAAGAACAAATACCAATGGTGGAAAATCAAGGAATAAAGGTTATTCAAATTTATCATGATGAAATCGATGAGGGCTATTTATTAAAGATAATTATTATTGTTGCAGAAAACTCTTCAGCCATAACACATGGCCTGAAAAGTCCCGGGCCTAACAAAGAAAGCACAGTTTTTTTGGTTCAAAATTAGCTTTAATCATCAACGTAATCTCCATCAAGAGCAACGCAATCATTCCAGCGCCGCTCTAACATTTCAATACCAGTTTTGTAGAATGATTTATCTTTTGCCTCAAAATAGGCCTCAGTTTCAGTGATAACCTCTTCATTCGTGCGAAATTTCTTACCGACGAGCATTTTTTTCAGGTTTGCGAACAGCCAATAGTCGCTGGGAGCCAAATCTGACCAATACGGTGGATGTGGGAGCAATTCGAACTTACATTTTTATGTAGTTTTTGCCATTGTTTTGATTGACTTGTGACACGTTGCGTTGTCTTGATAAAACTGATCATATTGCCAACTTCTGAGAGTGCTCGATGCTGGCGGTCTATGTCAGCGTCATCTCTCATATCTGACGTTAGTATGTGATATGTTAGCATGTGTACTTAAACCTTCCCGCCACGTTAATTTTCTGGCTTCCTATCCATACCGTTATTTTTTTTTAAATACCGGAGGAACGTATGCGGACCTCTTCCCGAAATGAATACCATCATTTCAGTCTTTTTTGCATTGTATACTAAGTCATGCTCTGTAGTATAACTCTCACATAGAGCCAGCAGTCCCGCTCAGCTCCTCGATCAAGGGCTTACCCTTGATCGAGGAGCTGAGCGGGACCACATCGTCGGACTATCGATCCGCCCGGCCTCGCACGGGCGCAATGTAGATACTACTAATGTGGTGAAGTATGGAGTAATTAATTTTACTATTATTATGAGAAGATTACTACTGGACATCTTTATATGCAATATTTATGAGCCCGCTCCGCTCTTGCCAGCCGCTGCCACGTTCCAGTAATATTACTCTACTCCGTGGCTGCCACCGCTGCGAAATGATTTGCTGTTAAAAGCAATTATGGTCTACATTAAATGCACAACGTATCAAACTTATTTATTTTGATAAAAATATTATGTACTGTATTTTCAAAATTATCATCACGGACTTTTTTGTAGACCTTTTTAAGATAAACTATTCTATAGTACATTATTTTGACCCATCTCGTAAGGTTTAGGCAGCGTTTGCTATGTAAGCACACAAAAACAGGTTTTTTACGACTTTACATTACAAATCTTTGAATGTTTCTCTGCTATAATATACATATCTTATACATTAAAACCTGCCTTTTGAATCCTTCTTTCTATTAGTGAAAACCGCTTCAAAGTCCGTTGCGCAGTTCGAAAGATCTAAGGGTATAAGAAAAAAAGCGGCTATTAAAAAAATATGTAAAGATTCCATGCTGCAAATAATTTAAAACTAATTTTGCGATTGAAAGTTTTGTCTTTTTAATAGCTGCGGTACCCGTTTAGAGTGGGTATTCTGCAATAACTGCTTTGCCTGTGGCTCTATCGAGTGCTCCTAGCAGCAATATATTCTTCGACCCTTTCAGCAATAGTGCGCTTAGCTTGTTTTATGTAGAAACTACCTACTAAAAGTTTATTTTGACCTTGGAAAAGGTAATAGGAGTTATCACACAGTGTTCAGTTCAATTTAATAGAACGGTATCTCGTTGTGTCAGGTCTTTCAGGACGTTCAAGCACTTTTCGATTGTCATATTGGTGAAAAGCGACTTCACGTCAAAGCTTACCATGATGTCATGGTATGCTATAATATACATGTCATGGATTATTACATTTTACTTGCTGTCATTGTAGGAGTTTATTACGATTCTTGCAACTCGTCCTTTGTGGTTTCACTAGCGCAGTATTGAATATTGTAGTTTGGATACTTTCGCTGACTTACGAAATAAAACTTACAAACCTGCTGCCATAACCTAAAGCGTTAGTAAGTAAGCTAATCTGTAGGAACCTGTATGTATGTGAGTGTTCTCTTGTTAACTCAAAGTACGAATAACTAAATGTTGTCTGTAGTGGAGATGCTTTTCCAATTGGGCGGCAGTAACAAAGGATTTAATTTAATAAACATATTTTGTAAGTTGCATTAGTTATTTTATATTTATACGAGTAGTAACAAATATTAAAAGTCAGGACCAGGAACAGAATACGGCGAAATGGCCCAACGAGTAGGAGACTTTCTTCTAGGACTGATGTTATTAAATCCAATTGGCGACAAACACGCTTCCACAATATCACTATAGGTACCAGACATCGAAGTTTTTTTATCCATACTTGGTGAGGTCAAAACCGCTTCAACCTTAGAATCACTCAACATCTTATCATTTTCAACTGACACCTGTTCAATATTATTAGCTCCGCACGTCGGTGTTGTGAAATTATCCGTGATAACGTAGGCGTCAAGCATAGTTTTTAATGGAGAAAGAATTTGTTCAAAAAACTGTGTACCACAATTCGACGTTTTAATCCACTGACTACATGCTTTATCAGACGAAAAATATCTTTTGGGAATAATGGCCTGAATTTCTTTTGCTCTCATTTTGCAATTGCCTCGTCGTTTATCATCATGAAAACTATACTTACAATCACAAACATTTCGTTTACGTACATGTGGTAGAAAGTTATGTTTGCATTGCAAAGATCCACTAATATGGGTGTTGACACCAATTTCTATGAACTTATTACTTCTCTCCGGTTCCTCGCTTTCTAGTTCCTTTGTATTTTTATTATTATCAATGTTATGTCTAGGCTTTATAGTACTGCTCAGTACTTTTTCTTTATTGATAATATATGATGGGTTAGTTCTGCTTTCTCTTGGAACAATAATGCTTTTAGTTTTACCTGATGTTGAAGCGGTATGTCGTGACGAAGTGGTAGATCGGGAGTACAGAGAAGCACGTTTTAGACCGGGCTCTACGTCTAGTTTGTAAGGAAAAGACATTGAGCCCGATGTTTTGTAACTAAATAATTTGCATTTTCATCAATTTTTAAGGTATGATGAGGACTTCATTTCACAGCTTTTTACAAGTTTTTCTTTATACTAATAAAGCTCATCTTCTGTTTTATAATCATGATTTTAAGTTAGGTATTTGTTGTTGCTATATTAACCAAAGAGAATACAAAAACTACATTAGAATATTGACGTTGAGACTGGACCAGAAATTACATAGAAAATTCCAAAGCGAAGTCTGTTCTATCTAGTTTAAAAGTTCACTGTTCTTAAAAATTTACTTTTGTCAATTACGAGTAGGATTTGGGAACTCCTACTCGTAATTGTCAAAAGTTTGGTCAAAATAATAATAGTTTTTTTACGATAAAAAGTTTTTGTCTATCTGTTCGTTCTAGCTAATCTTTGAAACGGCTAGACCGATCCTGGTCATATTTTAATGACAGGTATCCGACTATTTACGATAGAGCCTGTACAAGGAGACATGTATGACAGAAAAGTAATGAACAGTGAAAAAACCTTACGCCCATGTGACGGTAAAAACGACCAAGACCCATTTTTTACTAATACTAGCTTACAGACCAAATTTCAGATTTCTAGGACTTCAGGAAGTACCCTACGAATTTTGATGATCATCAGTGAGACAATTACGGAATCGAGATTTCTTAGGTATCAATTAAATCAAAAGTTAATAATATAAAATGTAAAGTTTCAATTTCATAACTCGAATTATGCTTGAATAAAACTATGCTCGAGTGCTTAGACAGGCAACAGGAAGGAATGACTTTGTCTGCATCATCTACAGACTGACTGTAACTTATTTTTAACGCATTGATCGCGAATATGTGAAGACTGCAATAAAAATTGCATCCAATTTTTCATTAAACATTGTTGCTTACACGTCCCAATCAATCACCTCATATTGCTTTCCTTTCTTATCTACTTTTTCTTACAACTACTCTGCCTACTCATCCTCCTGGAATATGAGTGAGAGTTTATATATAAAGGTTCCCTTTACTTTATCTCTAAAGCAATGCTCCTTGTCGAAATTCAAAAAGATGGCTTTGATCACAGCCGGAGTAGGTTGACTAAGAAACTTAAATAATCTATATAGTCAAATGATTAGCATTGCCTACTTTGTCCATCACTAAAATGTTTAGTGGAAATCTTTGATTAAGTCATGTTCACAGAGTACATTGTATTAATTACATTGTACATTGTATTAAAGTGCTAAAAATTTTTTAAAGTTTTTAATATAAGTCTATATTAAATAAGTAGATGGTATAACACTATTGCATTGGGCTAAGCCTGTAAAAATAGTTGTTTTTAAAGAAAATAAATACATATTTATCAATTTTATCATACAAAATAACTACCAACTCAATGAATAAAAAAAAAATAATGGCAACATTTTATTTCCAAAAGTCATTTTATAATGATTCCAGAAAATAGTGATAATTGATATACGTTTCCGGGATAATAAAACAACTCACTTTATGTTTTATGCGGATTATACCGAAAGTAACGACATCTATAAGTATCGACTGGCGAAGTACACCACGTATTATACGCCTAAATGAAGAGTACGTAATGTTGTTAAAATTTTAGACAAATAAAAAACCATTGTGTTTAGTTTCATTATTTTCGTAACATTCCAAGGATTGTCTTACTAAGATTGTACCGCCTGGTCATGTTAAATGTCATTATTGTCAATGCACAGATGATTTTTGCATTTTGTGATGTATAAGCAAATAAGGCGTGTTTTCATGGTTACTTGCTCTTTTTTTTACGATTAGATAGTAATGTACCTAATTGTAAATATAATCTATATTGAATGAAATTGTGTATCAATAGTTCCTGTTATGTACCTTCCAAGATGTGGGTGTTCGGTTATGGGTCTTTAATATGGAAAGTAGATTTTAAGTATGAATGTAAGCTCGTAGGCTATATCAAAGGTTATCATAGAAGATTCTATCAACACAGTATTGATCACCGTGGAATACCGGCGAAGGTAAAATTTCATGAATGCCTTCATGTTTTCTTTCACTGGGTAAATCAATTAGTTTACTAAGATTTATCATGTGATGATTCATCATCTTCATCAACTGCTGGACATAGACCCTCCCCTAAGAAAGGAGGGTTTTGGCCTACTATACCACTTCTGGCCAGACTGTTTGGTATAGGGTAATGTTTCAAGTTTCCTTCTCTTGAACAGTGCCGTTGACCGAAATAGTTGCTTCCTTAGTCGGCTCTTACGAGACCCCCGGAATGAATAGGGGTGGTGACACTCCATATTCTTAATCTGTCACAACATGTGAAAGCAAGGTAAAAATTCTTCAATCCATGTCCAATAAACTACAACTCTTTCCTTCCGTTGCCTTAACTCTTTCCTTCCGTTGCCTTCCATTCTTGTGCAACTTTGCCTTTTTGATATTTTTCGTTTATTTCCTAAAGTGGTCTGTTGATTGCAAAATAGTTTGCTCCTTATTACGAGCAAAACCACTTGGACGTGGGAACGTAACTAAACTTAATAAATGATGGTAAAATTTGAGAGTTTAATACACCTGTGCTTTCCCATTCTTAGGATTTAGGCTTGAAGTGTAAGTATGTATGTTACTTAAAAACAAGCTTTTTGCTATCTTTTTATGTAACTTATGGTTTTGGCTGCTATTTATTTTAATATATGGTATATACCCTATAGCTATCCTTAAGATAGATTATTAAATCTTAAATATTTTTTCCTTTGTTTCATTAGGTAAGTGTAAATGCCCATCAAAGCTTGTTATTTCGCATAGTGACTGATTGTATAAAAAGTAAATTCTTGTTAATTTCCTAATAAAAATTTATACTGAGACTGAACAATTAGCACCATTAGCCCTTCTTAAGTAGGATGTTAAGATTTTTGTTATGAATGAAATATCTTTGAGTGTTGATCACATAAAAAATCTTAAATGTAAAAGTTTATAAATGTAAAAATAGGAGCTTAGATATGAATAAAAAAAACCACAAACTACTATGCTATCTCATTCTTAACACACGTTTATTTACTTTCCAGCCAGGTCGTGTAGTGACACTCATCCAAAGTAGTGATGCTGACAGCAGAGTATGGGGTGTAGCATACAAAATAAAGACAGAAGACATCAACGAAGTTACTAAGCATCTAGACTTCAGGGAAAAGAATGGGTATTCAAAGAAAACTGTTACATTCCACCCGCAAGATGTAAATCACAAGCCTTTTGAATTGACTCTGTATGTTGCTACTGAGGAGAATGAATCTTTTGCTGGTAAGATAACACTCCAATAACAAGCATATTATTTTCACATCATCATCACATCAACACCCCTTAATAGTCCACTGCTGAACATAGGCCTCTCCTTAGAAAGGAGGTTTTAGCCTACTATACCACGATGGCCAGACGGGTTGGTATAGGGTTTGTGTCAAGTTTTCCCTCTTTTTGCAGTTCTTGCGTTGTTTTGCGCCCTTAGTCGACTCTTACCCACCCACGGCCACGGGATGAATTGGGGTTGTGACATTCCGTATTCTTAATCCGTCACTACAAGGACAATTATTTTAATTTGTATATATCTGGTACCGGCACAAGATCTTGAGCACACAAGTAGGCGATCGCTTTGCATACTATGCAATGGCAAAATAAAATGCACACCCACTTATTATTAATTTTTATTAGTATAAACTATACAACTTATAAATATTCTATGATGGAAGGGAAAATGTAAAATAATTTATTTTTTTAAAAAAGCATTAATTTATTTTCCTTCTATCAAATCATTCATCATCTGCCTACCCTTTTCCCAATTTTATTTGGGGTCGGCGCAGTATGTATGATTTTTCCATTCTACTCTGTCATGCGTCATCTCACTGTTTACTCCCTTGCTAGCCATATCCTCCCTCACGCAGTCCATCCACCTTCTCTTCTTTCTCATTAATTTATTTTCCTTCTATCAAATGAATTCCTTAAATAAAGCTGGTACTGTACAGTGGTCATTGTTCTTCATAATCATCTCATTTATTGTGCTATACATAATAGAGAATATATTATGCAATCTAATAAACTGTCATAAAATAGCAGATTTTTTTACGTGCCAGTAAATTAATTTGATAAAGAAAGTAGAAATGTTTAAATCTGACAATTTAATTGTAAGGAAGTGCACTCGTCGTCATAATGCAGGTAATATTATTATTTATAATACAAACAACCTAAACACAAAACAGTTAAAAAAATGAAAAATTATGTGGTTTTTCATATGAATAACGGGTTAGTTAGAGCCTTTTTAGAGCACAGAAAAATTGGTCATTTCTTTTTTACTTTGCACATATGCAAAAAAAAAATTAGAATGTAGATTAAAATATAGTCTTACATACTCATAAGACGCAAATACATCCAACAAAATCGAGTAAATTAAAATTTATGATGGTAAATTGAGGTTCAATGTGAATTTGTATTTTACAGGTCCAGCATCCTAGAAGATATAGCAAAGCAAGTCGTATCATGTACTGGTCCCAGGGGTTTTCAAATACGGAATATGTCTACAATCTCGCAGCTGCTATGAGGTCAATAGCTCCCGGAGTCACAGCCGACCATTTTTTTTGCTCTAAAGAGGCAATTCGTAGTATCGACCCTGAATTGTAGAGTCGCTTGGTTGGTCGTTATTATAACATATTATTATTTTACAATTGTTAAAAATAATCAAATACTTATTACTTACTCATAGATTTTTTACTAATTTGCTTAAAAAATTCTTTTTCAACTAATTTTTTATAGATACACTGTCACTAGAAATCAAATCACCAGATTTGTTGAAAGTGAAACAATACCATATGTGTTCATCAACATCAGAAACAGACTTTACGAGTCCACTGCTGGACATAGGCCTCTTTTTAAAAGGAGGGTTTGGCCTACTATACCACGCTGGCTAGATGGTTGTTTATAGGGTTTTTGGTTTCAATTTTTCCTTTTTCTTTGCAGTGCTGTTGTCCTGCGTATTTTTGTTCCCTAAGTCGGCTCTTGAGACACTCATGGATGAATAGGGGTGGTGACATCCGTATTCGTAATCCGTTACCACACAGACCCCCATGTGTAACAAAAACTTATGTGGGTCAACTCCTTTGATACACCGCTAAATACCTACTAGTTTGTCTCGACTAAAAGTGTGCAAGGGTTGTCACAAAAACGATCACGATGGTAGGTAGATAGGTAAAAAATAATATTTGCCTTAACTATATTTTACCTGTATAGCGGTTTTCCCGGGGTTTTCCTATTCCATTTCCAATATTGGATAAAAGGTTGAACAAATTATACGAAACAGGTTAAAATTATTATTAATATATATTAATATATTCGTTTTTGTGATTTCAGTTGGTGAAAATAATGGCAAAAGATTTAATTAAAATTGAATTCTTACAAAAAGGGTTGATTTGCAGCTTTTTATCACGACGTTAATGTTTTTTATTTATGTAATTAACATATAATTAATACATAAGTAATTTTGTAATTATATGTGTATTAAACCACTAAATACATACATCGAAAGTTTTATCATACTTTTCTTTCCTCTAATATTTTATTATTGGTAAAGTAAAGAGAAAATATTTACTACTGTAGTTAATCAAACAATAAAAATATTGCGAGAAAACTACCGTTACTACCGCAGACATGGGGGACATAAGGGGGACTCCGCTCTCCTTCATACCGCACCACAGCGTTGCTATTTTCCCCCTCTAATTAGCTGAGTTGACTCACTATTAGTATTTATCATATGACAATACATAGACTATGCATTTTTAAAATTTAACATTTTGCAAGTAGGCACAATTGCTATCTGTCAGTATCGATTTAACCATCCTTAAGTAACACGTATTAATAATTAGCGTTATTATTCAAGTAACCAACGTTTCAAAAACTTAAGCCTTGGGATAAAATGATAAAAAAAAAAGAAACTCGGCCACTTTTAAAATTTATTTAATGTAGGGGAAATGTATATTTTGTAGTGAGAAGTGTAAGATATTACGGTCTTATTGTGATTAAATGTAAGCAAACAAAAAATTAGCTATTAACGTATAGCAGTGAAAATAAAATAGATAAAATAAAGTAACAAAAGACAGTAATAAAAGACAATATTAGAAACACATTCGTTTAAGATTACATATCTGTTAAGTATTGTAATGATGCCTTTAGGCACAAATGTAGTTTTTTAAATTTGGTTATAAAATCGCACTTGACTCCGCAACGACTTATTGCCAGTTATTTAGTTACGTGATATAAAAATATAATTATGTTAAACAATTTGTGGTGGGCACCTCAAGGGTAGGCAACTCCTTGTGACTTTTACCATCGGTTATTTAACGTTAACATTAATTATTGAAAAAAAAATATATTTTAAAAATACGTGAGTGTCCACACGATAAAAAAGCGGTTAATTTTGGCAAGGCCCAGTTTTGGATTGACGGGATACAGTACCTACAAACCAGTAAAATTCAACTGGAAATCGGAACAACCCACATCAAAAAATTGTACGAATCCAGATATACTGCCTGCCTGCCTGCTGACTTGCCTGCCTTTCCTTTTGTGACCTCTTTTTTAAAGTGTGACTTCTACACTAGAAATATTTAGTAACTTAGTTAAACAATGATCAAAGTATAGAAAATGTTTTTGTTAACAATTTATGTGTAGCAGTTGATAATGATCGACTTAAGTTACGATGCAGTCTTTTTTCTTACGCATTGGCTCGTCGTGGAACAAAGACGTCCTCTTTTTTAACCTTTTATTTTGTGCTTTATCTTTTGTCAATTTACTATTCTAAAATAGTTTAATACCTAGTAGATTTGGCAATACAATTTTATAGACTGTGTAAGACCTACTCTTCATTTGATGTTTGTACCGGTTCTTTAATACGTTTTTTCCCATAGTTCTTAAAAAGTTAACATTTAATTTTGTCATAGTATTTCTAATTTGAAGACCATTTTGAAACGTAGTATTTTAATATATTAATTTATGTTTCATGACATTAAACCCAGGGCTTCTGTTTTAATGGTCCCTACTCGTAGACTTTAAATTTTTTTTTGCCAATATCACGACCAGTTTAGTCTATTTAATTATAATTATAGTAATAATAGAGTGACTTGTTTGTTTAATGATACTGATTTATTTTTTTCAAATTAAAAGACAAGTCGTGTTATATCGTGACATTGTCAAGGTCAACCAAAATGTATGCTATTAGGGGTTTTTACAATAGCTTTTATTATTTTTAATGACTTAACCTGTATGTAAAGAATATTATCTTTCCTGTAACTAGTAAAACGCATATGTTTAAAAAATATACATACCTACTTACGTTATTGTCTTTGTAGTAACACGTATTTGTTAATATAATTATGTGTCTTTTAGCCCGTCCAATCTAGTGTTTAAATGTATTTCTTACTTTCCCTACATACGCTACTGTTGAGCAGATGTTAATTTTAGTTGATACATATTGCATAGCGATAAGTTCGATTACTGTTTAGTGTAAATATTTGTATGCCACAGATATTTGTATATTTGCATTTAGCGAGACGATGTGTATATATTCTATCTGATGTATTTTAGTGTATAATATTTTAATACAAAAAATGTATGTAGGTGATTTTCTATATTTTTTGATTTTACGTAAAAGATATACTGTAACTTGTGAAAACTTCTCATGTATATATTATATACATATCAGTTTCATAAGACACTTTTTTCATTTGAAAATTTGTCATTTTTATTAGTCTACAATATTTAGGAAAACGATATCAATTTTACATATAAACTTGCAGTGACTACAAATGTAAAAAGATATCCATAAAACATAAAAAAAAGGTATTGCCATAATTTTGTTACTATTATGTGTAAAATAACTTGCTTTGTTTGGACATATAATTTCGACAAAGATTTATCATTGGAATTAGTCTTAGTTACGCAAATAATATAGTACAATGAAATGAATGTTACCGGTCAACTTTTTTTGGCTTTTTGCGACACTATGCAATAAATCTTGTTTACATTAGGGGCCTGTTGGTCTAGTGGTTAGTGACCCTGACTGCTAACAGGAGGTCGTGGGTTTCGATTCCCACCCAGGACAAATATGTGTGATGAGCACTGTATTTTTTTCTGTGTCTGGGTGTATAAAATATCTAAGTATTTTTATCAGCAGTTGGGTTACCCAAAAGCACAGGCTTTGCCTAGTTTGAGATCAGACGGATGTGAGTGTGTGGGGTATAGTATTAGTATATTATGTATTCTCA